GCAAAAGCCTTTCCCACAGGCGATCCTCGCTTCATGAAGGCATGGCTTGTGACAAGTTCAACCGGTAGAACAAAGGTGTGCACGTTTGCCAACGATTTCAGGTGAGGCCCCAGAAAAGGGAAAGCAGACTTGATCAGCAAAAGTGCGGCGGTTCGGTTGGTCACGGCACGCAAGCTCGCTCCCACTGGCCCCTGGATTCTGGTCACTCTCTCCGCCAGTGCGTCAGGCAGAAACGAAGAGTGCCATTTCAGCTGCATTGTCGGTTGGTATAGAACGGAGAGGTTGGTTTGCGCCAGTTCGTCCAAGGTTTGGATGTTGCTGGAGGTGCACTTGACGAGGAGCTCGGAGAGAAGTTTGCCGGTGTAGGCGGACGACAGGACGACGCAGACAAGCAGCCAGCTGCCCAGCAACGGGCGGCGCGCGTCCCTGCCGACGAGCGACGCAGGCTGCCCCACCATGGGGGCCAGGGCGTCCAAGACAGCCGTAGTGCGCCCGCTTAGCAGCAGCAATCCGGCGGCGACTGCGAGGAAAGCCAACCCCGAGGCAATCCAGACAGGCGCAGTGAATTCTTTGGTCACGCTGTCGACAAGGCAGCTGCCTTTCCCCATCCCGGAGGGCACCACCACCAACACGCTATTGATGCTCCGTGTAACGAAATCCCATTGCGTTCCATCCAGAATTCGAATCGGATGTTCAGTACTAACCACATCAAAAAGACACTCGCCCTCAAAAACAAAACTCTCCATTTTCCAGAAGTATTTTCCCCCAAAGCTGACGTTTTCGTGCTTTTAACGACTGCCTTCACGTACGCCGTCAGCAAGGTGTGATACACGCCTTTTTTTAGACTGGTAAAATGCACTTTTGCCCTTTACCTTTCCTTGGGAAAAAGCACGGCGGGAAGAACGGCACTGCGCCCGCTCGCCAAGATGACGGGGGGTCCCCGTTGTTGTTTTCAAAGAAGCGGAGTATGTAGTCCCCCGTGTTCAGCGTCCCCGACAACCAGTGTCAAGTCATCACACGGAACCATCTTGTAGCTGCTGATATCTTCTTTAGATCATTCAGTGTCTTGACTGACTTGAACGCCGTCCAAAGAAGTACTCGGCTCTTAATTGGGGGGCATCAAGGCAGCGAGAGTGGCGAAAATCGGACGATTGGTCTTCGGCAATCAAAAAGATGACAAGTTCGGAGCCAAGAGAATGTGATTAAAGGTCGAGCGTGGCCACTGTCTGCCTGGCCACGGCCCACGCGGGGCTGGGCAAAATGGACACGGTCGCCGTTTGCTGCATGTGAAGGAACGAACCCAGCCACCGCGGCTTTCCTATGATGAGCAAGCTGGGCGGCGACGACCCGGCGGGCAGCAGGGGTGGTTCCCGCAGGCTGTGGACTTGCAGTGCCTCAATCTCCATGGACGTGCTCTCGTTTGGCAGTGGCGCAGCGCACCAGGTTGCGGGGAGCGCGCTAGCGCACTCCAACAGCGCCACGATGAGCGCCGCACAACACTCATTCCCCGAGGGCTGCCCATCTCGGAATGCCACCCGCTTTGGCTGACGTGAAGGGGGTCGTTCGATTCGGTGGTGACAGCGTTACCACATCGTTCGCCTTATCTTCCCCCCCCCAATCAGTTTCTTCACACTACATCTGCATGAAAAATGTCGAATCGTGTTTTTTGTCTGTCAGAATACCTCTTTTCACGTCAGTGTGCGGGGGGGCGGTCTGGGGCTGAACGATCGCGAAGGACATCATTTGTGGAGAACCCCCGAACCGGTGACAAAGCACATGTTTTTCGTTATTCTTTTATATTCTGCGTTGAACGCTGGGATTCGCATTCGGAATGCCAAAGTTTGGTTCCTTTGGGGGCCCAAAGAGCTGAACATCATCACAGGGGGAAAAGGGACACTGGCTTAACTAAAGCGTAGTATTACCATCATGATTCAAGCGTAACGGCCCAGATCCCCCTGTATAAAATGCATAGGGGAATTTCCAGAGTATGCTTTATTTCAAGCGTAACGTCTGTCTTCAAACGCCAAATTTGTGCTTGACTTAAGCATAGAGTTACGCTTTCGTTTTACCAGTGCATTGTTTTTTTAAATACCCAAACCCTGTCTTTTATACAGTTATGAAAATTAAAACGTGAACCAGGGCTCAAGGACGCAAGTTTCTTGTTTGAGCGTTGAGATTTCCCATTACACGCCAGAGTGGCAATCCCCGGGGGGAAAGGACTATACTTTCGTTTGCAGTTCGAAAATGCAGGTGTTTTACTACTTAAACTGTAAGACATTTGTTGTCTATTTGTGCATGGATTAAAGTTAATCTACTGATCACAAGTACATTTTAAACGTAAAGTAATAGTACTTGGACTGCAGTTAGTTCATTGAAGTCCAGCTGCATTCCAACTGCACTTAAACTGCTCAAACTACTGTTAAACTATAGTTAACTACAGTTCAACTGCAGTTTATGTACTGGGAAAGTGGTAGTTTTTTTTGGACATTTTCAGTTTTTCTGCATTTTGAATCTAGTTGAAATCGTTCTTTTTTAAAAAACAGCTCCAAAACGTATTTAAAATACAACCAAACCCTTACAATCATAAATGTACTGAACAATGCAAAACTCAAAAATCAAATTTTTTTGACATTCCGTCTCTTTTTTTTCTCCTCCTATGCCCCTCTCCTGTGCCCCCTTCCTCTTATGATATGTTTCGTAGCTTGGAATTGTGAAAGTGTAAAGTCAGTGTTGGGGTTCGATCCTGGGTCTTTTGTGTTGGGCTTTTGTGTTGTGGAGTTGTTGAGTTATCCACTACGCTGGTGAGCGCCCGTGGGGACGAGCGCGAGATGCCCCGACCACATGACAAGGCCTCCCGCCGCCCCGACTGTTTAGATGAACTACAGTTTTTCTGCAGTTGAGCCACACATAAAATGCAAATTGCCGGGGAAAAAAATTTTCGTTTCTCCGCTACAACTAATGCCGCGCCTTGCCGAACCTAAATTTTTTCTTCCACGATCAGAGGACAAGAACCCCTGGTCGAACAGCTTTTAGTCTGCAAATTCTGATGACACTTCGCGCCTAACTTAACAAGTGTATGCCTTGTAAGAGTATAACAGCAGTTTCGACTCATCGTGCGACACGCATGGCGAAATGAAGCCTGAAGCGCAAAAATACTAGAATAAAAGTACAATTTT